GATAAATAATTATTCATTAGGATATTATATAAATCATGTGGCTTTGCCACATGATTTATATAATATTCTAGTGAATAATAGCTTTGTCGTTCATAATTTGACTGATAACATAGTTATTGGATGACATAAGTATTGTTACATAATTTTAAACTTTCGCTTAAACTATTTTATTTAAAAAATTTTTTTCAAAAAAAATTACGATCAAACAAACTTATGAATTCTACTCAAGTTTCGCAACTTCCATCTCAAGAAGAAATAAATCAATTACAACAAGCATCACTCGTATCTAATACTGAAAAAAATACAGCAAAATGGCTTCGAACTATAGAGCGATTTAATAAAAATTGTGGTATATCTCAAGCTATCGAATTAATTGATTCTGTTACCAAACTTGAAGATTATTTATGTCAATTTATAACCTGGTTACAAAAAGAAGATGGTTCTGATTACAAAGTTGAATCTGTTCACAATTGCTATAGTGCGATTAATAGATATCTTCGAGATTACAGTGTTATTCAACCAATAAAAATTTGGGATCCATATAGATTTCCTCGCGCACTTCGTACTTTGGATGGAAAAATGCGAATTTTACAAGATAAAGGATTAGGTGATCCAAAAAAATCCGATGGATTATCTTTAGAAGAAATTAAGCAAATACTTGATCACTTATATATGAGTATTAATAATAATGAATCACTTATTCGTCGAGTTTTTTTCTGGTTATGTTTATTATGTGGATTACGAGGTGGAGATGCATATCGAATTTGTAGAAAAGATCTTGAACGTCGCCAAGATGGAGGATTGGAACTTGTGCTACATAAAGAAAAAAATAATCAGGGTGGCGCTTTTTATAGAAACAAGCATGGAAAAACAAATTCTCGACGTATTCCTATACCACCGGACTCACCTAATAATTTATATACACCAATAAAAGATATTTTATTTTTTTTATCAAAATTACCTGATTCTTCTTTATTATCGGATCCTTTATTTCATGAAACTTATAAAAGTCAAAAAGGTAAATATAATTAAAATATTTAATTTATTATTTTTATTTTTTAAGATCAAATGCGACAGTTTTTTTATTAAATAATAAATAATTAATTTATTAATATAATATATTTATTTTTATTATTATTAAAGATTTTCAAAAAGGTCGTTGGTATAAAAATACACATATGGGTTATACGAAACTTAGAAAAATGATGAATGATATTGCAACAAATACTGGAATTAATTTGGATAATGGACGAAAAATTACAAATCATTCTTGCCGTCGTACCGCAATTCAACTTTTAAAAAATAATGGTGTTTCTGATTCTGAACTTCAATCCTTTTCTGGTCATCGTTCTCGTGAAGGTTTAGCAGATTACTGTCAAACTAGTGAAGATCAACGTATTTTAAATACTGCAATGTTAATTCCTTTTTCGACACAAGAATTGGATTTAAATGAATATGATTATTATAATAAACAACAAGGTAAATATAAATTTAATTAATATATTATATAATAATCATCTTTATACAATAATTTAAAATTTCTTACCTGTAGATTCTATTACAATTCCGAAAAATAAATATCCTGCAACACAAAAAACTCAAGATTTTACTACACAAGATTCTGCAATACAAGTTTTTACAACCGAAGAAACTCAAACTTCTGTAACAAAAGAAACTTTATTATCTGTTATTGAAGAAACTCCCACAAATAAAAAAATTAATCCATCTCAAGTATCAAGAATTCCTAAACCAAAGGCTCGTACTCAAGCTCACCCTTATTCTTCTGTAACAGCACCTTTTA